CTTAATTCTATTAAGATTATTGAAATTCTATTATATTAATTTATGAATAATATATATGATTTAAAAAAAAAGATTTTTAATGAAGAACATCAGAAATTCAGGAATTGAATAGATTTTTTATTAGAATTTTGATTGTCAAGCCAGAAAAGCATAAAAATTAAAATTTATTCTCAAACAAATTTAATCTATAATTAATGAAGTTTAGGATCCAAGATTGTCTTTTCAAGAGAGATTTCGAAGTATTGAATTAAAGAAAAGGGTTCAAGAAAAACATTGACAATCTTAAAAATTAAAAAAGATCAATTTTGTTGCATAGTAATGAAAATAAATCAAATCAAATTTTATGCAATACTGAAATTAGTTAATAAAATTTTATTTTAATTATTAGCACTATTTTAGTATGAGAATCCACTAAAGATATATAAAATGTTGAACATGTTTAAAATTAAGTAGAATCTTAAATATTTTAGAAGATTTAATTAGAATTAATTGATTTTGCCTGATGGCATATTTTTCATAAAAAATGTCCAAACAAATATTTGAAAATATAAATTTAGTTGAAAAGAGTAACAATGAAATACTCTTGGGCAAATTTTGAGGAATATTTAATGTTTTATTTTTATAATATGAGGAAAGAATTAAAATATACATTTTAAATGACTTTTAACATAATCTTTACAGCTTATATTACTAATCTTGAGGATGAAGCATTGATTAAAATACAATGAGTTCAAATAATTCATAATTTTCATGTTTTTAAAATAAGCTTAGTATTTAATTTGAAAATTGAATTCAATTTAGTACAAATCTCCTCTAATTCATGGCCAGCTATTATAGTAAGTCTAAAAATTAATCAAAAAAACTTGCTAACAAATAATTCTTTAATTTCCTAATTCGAGCAAAATATACATAGTTTCCATAATACTAATTTTAAGTCGAAAAAAATTAAGGTTGAGATATTATATTTATCAAATAAAATTCAGAAATAATTTTTATGTTTTTCGTATTTTTAAGATTAAGCTATGAAAGATATAACTAAAATTAAATATAAAAATTTTTAAGTCATCAACTCCTGAATGAATGGTAAATAGAGTATAAAACTTTCTATGCCTTTTTTATCATTTAAGATTTTAGTTAATAAAGAAAATAAAGTTTGCTTTTTTTAATTAAAATGAATCAGTTTCAAGCCAATAATTTATTTCAATTTAAATATTAGTACTAATCAGGATTTATAATTTATAGTATATATCAAAAATATTATAATAATCAAATATTTTGTAATTACGTAATTAACCTATTCAATACGTATTTACACATAAAATAAAAATAATTAAGAATGAATATAAAAATTTATTAAATAACTCTTTGCTAAGTATGATGTATTTTTATTCAATTCTTCTTTATTAATGGAATTCATTCATTATTTATTTTAAAAAATGATAAAACTTTTTATAATTGTTCTGCTTTGCAAATCTATGGGAGCCAAATGGATTTTAAAAGAGGATTATAACAATATCAAATAAAGTAATAATACAATTTATATTAAGATTGGTATTTATTTAAAGGTTAATCAGCTATAAGTGTTTTGAATTCAGAAAGCTATTTAGGAGGAGAAAATAAATTCAAAGAAGATACAATCCTTGAACATTATTATAATCTGTAATCTCATAATTAAGTAACAATAAAAATTCGAGCAATTTTCTCCAGTTGTGTAGAATATTTTGAAGTGTAATTGGATGATATGGGATCAATTATTGATAGGAGTTAATTTACTCCCCTAATAGTAATTGATTTGGAAATAAGTTACTTTCACACTAGTTAATCAGCATTTTTTTCTTTAAAAGCTTTTCGGTTATCTACTTGTTCAAATTCTAATACTTGGTGGGGTATTTTTGCAGTTGAAATCCATGTTTCAAATTGTTAAGAATTTGAAGATTATTGTGAACCAGGATCAAATAATAGATGGTTATTATTAAACTCCTTACTTCATTTTAAACTTAGAGATTGGTAAATAACTTCAGGAGGTGCCACATCAACATATAATTTTCCAGGTATACTGAAAATTTAATATAGATTTTTAAATTATGTTTAAACATTTTTCAGGTACTTAATAGCTTCAAAAATATGTGCTTATACCTTATCCAACGAAAGTAAAATCAAATTCAAACTATTTTTTGAGAAATAACCTGATTAAATAACAATACTTATAAATAATTTTTAAACTTTATGGCCAATAAATAAATATTTTAACTACTACACTGAATCTGGATCTCCAAAGTGGTGGATTTATAATATAGAAATAGATATTAACAATCATAAAAGCGATTTATTGTCTATTGTTTTACTTCTTTTAGAAAGTAAACCATCAAATGAAGTGAGTGTATTTGATTTTTTTGTATTTTATTAAGAATAGAATATCATTTTGGCACCAATTTTAGGGTGTTTAAATAATGTAGGCCTATATTGTTTTTCTTGTGAGATAGGGTGGTAATTAAATCTTGTAGAATAGAAATGTATATCTATTTGTGGTGATAACAAACTGTAAGCAAACGAAGATTGTGATGATGGTAATGATATTGCTTATGATGGTTGCTATAAATGTAAATTTGAATGTTCATTAGATTGTTAATAATGTTATTTTGGTAAATGTTTGAAGTGGCACAATTCTTAAAATTTAGATAATTATTATATTTAAAAAAAGGTTTAAGATTGTTAAAGCAACTAAGGTTATTATTTTGATACTTTATCTGATATTTGTTAACCTATTTGTGGTGATCAAATAATAACATTAGAAGAAGAATGTGATGATGGAAATAGTTTATTTAATGATGGATGTATGAATTGTAAATTCATATGTTCTGATAACTGTTCAAATTGTTAATATGGCAAATGCTATGAATGTAATCCTGGTTATATAATAAACAAATTTAAATGCATTCCAGAATGTGGAGATCAATTAGTAAAAGTAGATGAAATATGCGATGATGGAAATAATATTAGATTTGATGGATGTCATAAATGTTAAAATAGTTGCTAATTAGAATGCATTAATTGTTACTATACTAACTGTATAGAATGCTTATAAGGTTGGAATATAATTGAAGGTAAATGTGAAAAAAGATGTGGAGATGGATAAGTTGCTTTTATGTCTAATGAATAATGTGATGATCCTTTTGATAACTATTTTGTGGATTGTTCTTATTAATTTTGTTAAGATAATTGTTAAGTTTGTAACTAAAATTAGTGCATATCTTGTTTCTTTCCATATTAATTGATTAATGGGCTTTGTTAACCTATTTGTGGGGATTCAATCGTTTCACTTTAATTTGAATAATGTGATGATGGTAATTAAATTCCATATGATGGATGTCATGAATGTCAATATTCATGTTCTTATGGATGTATATAATGTGAAAAAGATAATATTTGCAAACAATGTGAATAAAATCTTTTTTTGCTAGATCCTTTAACAGCTAAATGTAAATAAATTAATCAATTAAATGATGATATCTAAAAATATTAAATAGATTCAGTAAATAGTACTATCAATATAATATGTAATAAAAATTATATACTAATTGATAATTTATGTGCGAATCAATGTGGAAATGGATAACTCAATAGTTATTATGAAGAATGTGATGATGGCAATAATAATGGAGGTGATGGATGTTCTTCTTTATGTACTGTTGAAGAATTTTTTAGATGTATTAATCTTGAAAACTAATTTACTACATGCACATTTATTAAACCTCCTGATTTCGATTTAAACTGTCTTTCTAATAAGAAGAATTAAACTCAAATTATTGAATTGACTTTCACAAAATCAATTAGATTAAACTATCCGTCTGAATTAGACGAAGTTATAATTTTTAGAATCACCCCAAAAATTATTCATCAACTAACTTTGATTCCATTATAAAATCTTTCCATCCATTTGAACAATCCAATTTATTAGATTTTTGTCTAATTTCTGGAATATGTTGAAAATCCTAAATTAGAGGTTGAAATCTCTAAATTTTTAATATTAGATGAATTTGATTTAGAATTATAATCCTTTAATAAAAGTGTTAGTCTTGGAAATCCTAATCTCTGAAACTACCTAATAATAAGTAGTATCACTTGTTAAATTCAATGATGCCATGATGTATTCTATGGTGAGTATTGCCGGTTTAGCTATGTTGACAGGAAATATTCTAATGATTCTTAACCTTTTAGATTTATTACAAACTTTGTCTTATATTCGTTACATGTAATATTAGTTTCCACCTCATCTAAGATAATTTTTGGAAACTTATACAAAAGTTTCTCTTCAACCAATTTTAGATTACTTTAAAGTTGATGAAATTATTGCAGAATTAAATGGTGGTTTTCTCCCTTATAAAAGGAAATAGTCATCTATATCAAACTCAAATTTACCTTCAAATTAAATTTATTTAATAAATGCAAAAAGTTGCTACTTTTCTTTTTTAGCATCTTTACTCACTTATTTTATTTGCTCTGCTTTATCTTCTTAGTTGATAAATTAAAAATTGTTTAATTTTTATCAGAAAAACCTCGAAAATCTAAAATATTTAGAATTAATTAGAAGATTTCAAGTTAAAATATAATAAAAATGTTTACAAATAAAAAAAGAATACTTTTCTCTCGGAATATTTTAGCTCTACCTTACAATATTACATTAATTAGCCTTCAGCACTTTTTTATAATTTCCAAATTATAATTTCTAATCGCTATTTGAATGTTTCAATTCCATTAATTCTTTGTGCGCTTTAATTCTAATTATTTTTATTTCCTTTAAATCGCTTACAATAACATCATCTCACATAAAAGACATTTCAAAATGGAAATATTTTTATTTAGGATTAAATACTTAATTTTGGGCACTCAATTTCAAATCCTTTTAAATTTTTAGAATCAAATTTTACATTTTTATGATTGTGATTTGCATTAATTATCCATAAATACAATCGATATTATTGTCGATGCAATCGCTATGTTATTTGATATATTTACATAAATTTAGACCTTTAAAATCAAATTATGAATTGATCAAACTAATGTAAAGAGAATTAATATTAATTGTCATTTTTGGCTCTTTTTTACTCTACAGTTTTGATTTTGAAGAGGATTAGCTTCTATTAATTGGATGGATACATATATTCCTATTTACTTTTATACTGTCAACAAACCTGTTTGTAGATATGATAGAATATGTATCTAAGGCATATAAAAATTACATAAGAAAGTAAATTAAAGAGGAATAAAAATAATATCAATAGTATTATAATAATTCTCTTTAAAAATTCATATTGATAGAATAAAACAATAGATGATATTAAATATTAATTTTCTTATAAAATAAACATTTAGCTTAATAATTTTTTTCTTTTTATTAACAATATTTTTCTATTAATAAATTTTTTTTATAAAGTTAAGGTTCATTATTCTTTATAAAAAATTCAACATTTATTGATTAATCATTTTTTTTAATTTTTGTGATTTAAATAATACTCACCACAATGAAACTCATTGGAACAAGTATTGCAATCATTATTTCAAAAGTACAAAATAGCTTTAAAGTGTTAAATTTTTCGAACATTTTGAGTATTTGAAAATTTATAATAAATAATACTTTACAACATAAATGAAGCACACCTTATTTAATATTTAAGCATACAAAAGGTATAATTTATTTTTATCAATTATTTAAAAATTACTTTTAGAGACTTACTTAAAATAGGTTAATTCTTTCTTTTCAAAAATAATGAAATAATTTTTATATTTCACTATTTATTCTAAGTTAATTATAAAATTTTGTTGTAAAGAGTAGATAATAACTTTAATATACTTGAATTAGTGAAGAAATCAGAAGCTAAAAAATTTTATTTTGCTACATTAGAACACAGATCAGATGAACAAGATTACAAACAGAATAAATTCAATTTTGAATCGTTATCATATTATATAAATCATGGAAAACATCAATAAATTATATTATTTAACTTCTCCTTCATTTTTATTATGCAACCGATTTTTTCTTGATATTTGTTAATTTCTGTAAACCTTAAATATATAATCTACTCTTTGTAATTGACTTAATTAAAAAAAATTTTTTATCTTATTATTTGCTAAAGAATTTTTAAATTAACATGTTTTTTATTTATATTTTATGATTTCTTTTCTTTTTACTTTTGCTTTTTTATATAATTTTAAACGCATTTTACATTGATTGAATTTATTCTTCGTTTTTTATCATGATCTTTGATTCACCTTAAGATATCTAACATATTTTTAAATNGATATGATAGAATATGTATCTAAGGCATATAAAAATTACATAAGAAAGTAAATTAAAGAGGAATAAAAATAATATCAATAGTATTATAATAATTCTCTTTAAAAATTCATATTGATAGAATAAAACAATAGATGATATTAAATATTAATTTTCTTATAAAATAAACATTTAGCTTAATAATTTTTTTCTTTTTATTAACAATATTTTTCTATTAATAAATTTTTTTTATAAAGTTAAGGTTCATTATTCTTTATAAAAAATTCAACATTTATTGATTAATCATTTTTTTTAATTTTTGTGATTTAAATAATACTCACCACAATGAAACTCATTGGAACAAGTATTGCAATCATTATTTCAAAAGTACAAAATAGCTTTAAAGTGTTAAATTTTTCGAACATTTTGAGTATTTGAAAATTTATAATAAATAATACTTTACAACATAAATGAAGCACACCTTATTTAATATTTAAGCATACAAAAGGTATAATTTATTTTTATCAATTATTTAAAAATTACTTTTAGAGACTTACTTAAAATAGGTTAATTCTTTCTTTTCAAAAATAATGAAATAATTTTTATATTTCACTATTTATTCTAAGTTAATTATAAAATTTTGTTGTAAAGAGTAGATAATAACTTTAATATACTTGAATTAGTGAAGAAATCAGAAGCTAAAAAATTTTATTTTGCTACATTAGAACACAGATCAGATGAACAAGATTACAAACAGAATAAATTCAATTTTGAATCGTTATCATATTATATAAATCATGGAAAACATCAATAAATTATATTATTTAACTTCTCCTTCATTTTTATTATGCAACCGATTTTTTCTTGATATTTGTTAATTTCTGTAAACCTTAAATATATAATCTACTCTTTGTAATTGACTTAATTAAAAAAAATTTTTTATCTTATTATTTGCTAAAGAATTTTTAAATTAACATGTTTTTTATTTATATTTTATGATTTCTTTTCTTTTTACTTTTGCTTTTTTATATAATTTTAAACGCATTTTACATTGATTGAATTTATTCTTCGTTTTTTATCATGATCTTTGATTCACCTTAAGATATCTAACATATTTTTAAATCTATTTCTGAAAGTTTATCATAATTATTATGTGATTCATAATTTAACATTTTTATAAAATGACCTTTTTATTTTTCTTCTCAATCCTTTCTTATTTTAGTTAATTAAATTTATCTTTTTTAAAAATTTTATAACACTTTTCTGAATCAATAAAAATAAATCCAATATCTAAGCTAAATAACTCCAAAATTCAAATCCAATGTAACTATTAACATTTAATTTACAACAAATATCCAATTAAACATAATAAGATTACATAACTTACTCAAAAACTCATATAAATAATAAAATCTGTCCAAATACACAAATAAAAATTTATTTATATAATATTTTATTTTTTTTCACTCTTCATATTTCTTTTCACCGCATTTATAGTCTTCCTTAATATTCATTTCAACCCATGTACCAATCTTTATGCCTTTTAGATTATATTCACCAATATAAATGATTTAATAGTATTTCATAAAAAATCTATCCAACTCTTCCCACTTACCTATCTTGATTCCGTCTTTATTATATGACCCACCACCGCTAATATATTATTTTAATAATTATAGAATAAATACATTAATTTATATTTTCCCTATTGTTCGCTAAAATGAATATCCCATCTACCTTCCTTAATACCTTTCATATTATAAACACCATTATAAATGACTTATTTTGATTAATTAAACTCTTCGTCTATCTCTACCCACCTCCCAAACTTATTTTCCATTTAATTATATGACCCACCACCACTAAATAAGGTTTACGCTTGTATCATAATTACATTTATATATATTCCTTTTAATTTTCTTTATACAAAATATCCCATCTATCTATTTTCATTCTATTTTTAAATTATCCAACGAAGATAATAGAATCACTAATGATAATATAATTGATCACTTTTCAGATTTATAAATTTAATTTCCGCTTTCATCGTAAATTACGCAGCCACTATAAAATTTACTTTATTATTTTTACCTAAATAAGTTTTTCTAATTTGAATTAAGAATATTCCATCTACCTATTTTCTGACCTTTCATATTGTATTCACCATTACAAGTAACTTACTTATCTCTTTTAAACTCTTCATGCAACTCAAGCCATTGCCCAATTTTATATCCTTCTAAATCATAGGTTCCCCCACCGCTAACCGATTAATACTTTGAGAATGTAATATATACATTTATTAATATTTTTCCTCTTTTTCACAAAAATGAATATCCCATCTACCTTCCTTTTTACCTTTCGTATTATAAACACCATTATAAATGACCTATTTCGATTAATCAAACTCTTCGTCTAGATCTGCCCATTTCCCAATTTTAATTCCTTTTTAATCATATGATCCTCCGCCTCTAATTTATCATTACTATACTTTTAATTACATCTCTTTTCCGCAAGCTAAAATATTCCATCTACCTTCTTTCAGACTCTTCATATTATATTCACCATTATAAGTAATTTATTTATAATACCCAAAACCTAAATCTAGCTCAACCCAATGACCAACCTTATTTCCTTTTTAATCATATAATCCACCACCTCTAAAATATCAATGCTATATTTAACTAATATTTACATTTACTGATTTTTTCCATTTCCCCATTTATCAAAATTGATATCCCACCTACCTATCTTTATACCAACTTTATTATATTCACCATTAAAAGTGACTTATGCATCTTACCAAAAGCCTTCCCACAACTCTACCCATCTCCCAACCTTTTGTTAAATCTCTTATTAATCATATTATCCAAAACCACTACAATAATATTTTAAAAATCATTTTTATAAGTTACATTTATTTGTATTTCCCATCTCCCCATCTATCAAAATGAATTTCCCATTTACCTATCTTTATACCCTTTAAATTATATTCACCATTATAAGTGACTAAAGCTCCATCCCAAAAGCTTTCCCATAACTCTACCCATCTTCCTATCTTTTTCTAATCTTTATCATAAGATCCAAGACCGCTAATTAGATTGAATTAATACATTATTTTATTTTAATAAATATACTTCCATCTACCTATTTTTTTGTCATCAATATATTCGCCTTCTTCAAATACATGAACCTTACTAGAGTTATTTTAAAATTAACATTTACCTACAATAATTCTTAATTAATTCTTTCCATAAACCAATTTTTTGCCCACTTTCTGAGTAATATCCTCCTACTTTTTAAAGATTTTATCCATTCCAATTGATTCCCCATTTAGCAATCTTCTGATGCTTCTTTCCATATTTTCCAACCCATTCAAGATAATTGATTTATTCTAAATTATCGAAAACATCAGGCTCCAAAAATGTAAACTTTTTTACTCTAAATTTTATTTAAATATACAACCTGACTGTTGATCCATTAAAAATGTAAATGATCTCTTATTTATTATTAATAAATTCTATTTAGTATTTTTTTTTTAACCATTGGTGAGCATAAGAGTCAAAAAACAGGCATTCTTAATTTTGAAATTAAATTGGCTATCTCTTAGGACTATTGCTACTCACCTATTCTTCATCTCTTATTATAATCTGATGTTACCCTATAAATTACTTGATATAGGTTATTGATTTGATAAACATATACTCATTTCTATTATTTTTATTAATAGTAAAAATTTGCCATTTGATAATTCTTATTGTGATAAAGATCTTTTTTCATGAGAAGACACTAATATTCAAATTTTTATACTTCCTATCTTATCTTTTATATGTAAATCAATATACCTTTTGAGAATAAATAGAAAATAAATTCAGGGAAATGAATCAAATTTTCTTAATAGGAAAATAAAGGAAAAATTTTAATAAATCTTTAAGGGAAAAAAGATTTAATTAAAGTTACTAAATAATTAAATATTATCATAATAATTCATCAGATCATACTTGTATTATTTGATGGTTATCATTGAATGTATCATAGAATTAGTTAACAACCAGTAGTGAGTATAAATTAATCTCATAAGAAAATAATAAAAGATGGAACACAATCGAAAAAAAAGATATCAGTTTAAAGGTTTGGATTTAGTTAATGCTTCATAATAGATTAAATGTTCACATTTTAACCTAAAACTTTACTATAAGGCAAGTCTATGAATATAGTACAACAAGTTTATAATACAGAGAAATGGAATAAGAGGTAAGCTTTAAGTCAGAAGATGGTTGTTCATTGTTATTTCTTAAAAATTTCAAAAAAAAATAAATTCTACTGAATAAGAATGGATTATTGTAATTATTCTGAATATATTTACTAAATTGCTTGAGGAAATATATCTATTAGTTATTTAAACAGTTTTATTAATTTTACTAAGTTGATCTTCTTTTATTTAATAAGTTGCTTGAATGAATTTTTATAATTATTCCATCTAAATTTTATTAATAAAATCATTGACTTATATCAGAATATAATTCATTTTATATATTTATTCTATTTATCATAGTTACTTTTTTGAATATTAAAATTTAATATATTTTAAACATCTTTTAATTCTAGAAAATTATTCAATTGATTTTAAAATAAACGATTAAAGTACGTAATTTGATTATCAAATCCTATTCATAAATAATTAAGACTTCATATTTTAAACATATTGTGGTAAGTTTTATCATTATTTCAGTAAATTTTAAATTATTCATATTTCATAACATAATAACTGTGAATCTTGATTTTAGTATTCAATTACATTATCTTATTATTGTATTATAATTAATTTAACAATATATCAAATTGAAATCAAAAACAAAACAAAATTATTATTTTTTGTCAAATTTTTAATTGAGTCTAAACTTTTTTAGGTTTAGGCTCTGGTATATTTATTAGTTTCAATGATTTCAAAGATTTAAATTTTAAGAATAAGATTTTGCTTAAATTTAAGATTATTGTCAACAAAGACAGAATATTAAATTTTAATTACATAATTCTCCTTCAAATTCAAGTTTAGCTTTTTCTAGAGTGTTATGGATTAATAATTATATACTTACAGAAATAATCATTCATCCTTACAAATATAAGTTAATTAAAGTATCATTTTAATTGCATTGAGGGAAGTATCAATTTTATTTGATTTAAATCTTATTATTAGAAAATATTATGATTTTATTTTATTATATTATTTATCTCTTAATATTAAATAGCTTTTGTATTATTTATCAAATAAGTTCAAAAAATACTTTTTAATTCTGATAATCCAATAAAATCTGTAAGATGATGCCTTTGTGGTAGATGAAATTAAAATGAATACTTAATTTATCTAGAAGTTATTCAAACACTACACCGAAAAAAAATGTTCAGATTTCCAACTTTTATGATAAATTGGATTTTCAAGCATATGCTATCCAAAATAATTATGAAAGCTTGCTTTTTTATGGGAATCCAAAAAAAGAAAAAAATAATTGTAGTTAGATAGAATTTTTGGTGATCAAATTTTTAATAGAAAATTATACATTTAAATATCTATTTTTTTTTATCCCAAAATGGTGATACTTAAATCAGTTAATAAGGAAGAATAACAAATAAATCTTTAAGGAAATTATCCTTATTTACTAATTAGGTTTTTACTTTTGTTTTTATATAGATTAGACTTGTTAGAATACTTTTTAAAATTAACAACATAAAGATGTAAATAAGTTCAAGAATTATAAAAGCTGCTGCTTAAACAATTAGTTTATGATTTTGAAAGAGGTATAATGTTTGTAGGAAATTTATTTTAAATTATTTAAGTGACATCATTTCATTTATATATTAAGATTAAGTTTGAATAAAATTTATATTAAATAAATTAAGTTTAAAATGATAGAAATTCAGCTTATTTT